TTTCAGCTGGTTTACTTCAAACACAGAACTATGGACACATTATAAGTACCCATTGGTTTCCACCACATTTTGCTGGCTAATGGCAATGTTTAAGAGTGGCTTACTTGAATGTAAAAGATGAAAATCCTGCTTCTGCTGCAATGAACAGATTTTTCCTTTAACTGCAGTGATGCAAACTTTCAGCTAAAATGTACCTTCAACCTTTTTGTCCTCCAAAACCCAGAAACTTTCATACAAGCTTTATGATGACAGGAGAGTAATCTCACTTGCTCTGAACTAACCTTAATCTTCTTGTTCAGGATTAACCTGGCTTTTGCAGTGCACAGGCTGGCCTTTATTAAGAAAAATATGCTAATAGAAATGACAAAATTCTACTGCAAACAATGATAAATATAACTTTAGCATACCTTAATTAGTCAAAAAAATCTGAACGTCTTTTTGGGGAAGACAGGCTATGGAATGATTGGAATCAGGACTGGAAAATATACAACTTTACATACTCTTAGATGATTATGTGATTTGGGGAAATCTGAAATCTTTATATTACAATGTAGAAAGATTTTATCTTGGTGATAAAGTTGTCCTCTCTAAGTAGTGAATAGTATGTTCATCCTGTACTAACAATGTTAAAAATTTACACCAGAACCATATAAAATTCATCCTAATGAAAACACCTAAACCTAAGATTATTTAAATATGGCAATTTAATAAGACTTATTTTTGCTTTCCCTGAAAATATATTATTCCCTTCAAGAAAAAAATAACCAGCAACTATAGGGTTTTTGAAGAGGAAATCAATGTGGTTTGTGTTTGCAAATCACATATTTTCAATTACCCTGCCTGTTTTCTAGATAAACATTTTTTTTTGTCTGTGATTGCAGAATTCTTATATCCATTTTTAAGTATTTCAAACAGTCTGGTAGCAAAATTGGACCCCAGAAGAGGATGAAATAAAGCTCTGTTAAATTTTCTTGGTTATACAGACTTCATATGAAAGAGGAACGAACACGTATGACATGGAACATTTAAATTTATAGAGGTAGTAGTAAAGAATAGACATACAGCCATTACACGTTTTCTATACTATATACTAATCATTAAACATATTGAAAAAAAGGCACATTGTAAAGCATACAGGAACATACTGAACCAAAACTTTGATATACTAACAGAATTAAAAGATACTACTCTTTCTCACAAAAATCCTAAAATTAAAGTATACCTCTAGCTGGTAGCTGAGCCTCCTCTTCATACTGGGGAATTTCTGGCTCTTCCTCCTCATAATCAGGAACTTCTTCTTCATAATAAGCAGCTTCTTCTTCATAATGTGTGACTTCTTCATCTTCATATTGAGGAACTTCTTTATACTGAGGAACTTCCTCCTCATAATGACTAACTTCTTCATAATGATGGACTTCCTCCTTGTAATGGATTACTTCCTTCTCATATCTGGTTACTTCTTCCTCTTCATATTTTGGAATCTCTCCTTCCTCTTCATACTGAGGAACTTCAACATACACTTCTTCTTTTCGGACAACTGTCTTGTGTACTTCAGGCACTTAAAAAGATATTAAGTTAGAGAATCTTAAAATATAGCACATAGATCTTACTAATAATAAGGATCACAAGGCATTGCCAAATAAGAATTAAAACACAGGAAGAACATTCCAGAGAAAACAAATCAGTATTCACTGTACATGGAACATACAAGACACAAAAAAAAACACATTTATAACATACTTCAATTCTCTATCCAGTATACCTTTGGCTGGTAGTCTTGCCAGTTTTTTAGGAGGATAAGTTCTTTCTTCTATGATAGCCCTCTCTGGTACATCAGGCACTTAAAAGATACAGTATATTTACATTTAAGTATTGTTAAAAGTGTTGCTTAAAAGCAAAAATATTCTTGCCAAGAAACAAAGAAACATGTCCTACAAATATATGGCTTATATGCGAAAGACAAGTGCGCTTATTGACACTGGACATATAATTACGGAAGCCATTACACTGCTTTTCAATTAAGTAACAACAAACATTTCAAGATCCCAGTATAAAGAGCTGATATGATTCCTGCTTCATCCAGTGCTGCCAACAGTGAAGTTAAACTTGCTGAAGGGCAGAACTCAAAATCCAAATTCATCAATCAAATTACAAAATCATTAAATCCCACTGTTCTCTCTGACAGCCCCTCTCCACAGCAGCGACACTTTGCACTACCTCAGTAATAGCTCAAGAGTCCTGAATCACTGCTAAAAAAAGATCTGTACAGTAAACTGGAGACGAAGATGAGAGAGCACATACAGAAAACTCTGGGGGTGGCTAACAATAGGTAAAAGCTCTGGTCTAACTAAAGGCAAAAGAATTGCTTGCTGAGTAAGGTGTTTTTCCTCTTCTGTTCATTGCTTTACAAAGTAGCTTGTTTGCTCAGGCATAGCAAGGAACCATGCCATATAAGAGCAGAAAAATTTCCAAAAGATTAAGGTGTGAATATGTTCAGTTTTTATTCAGGAAAGAATAGACACTATGTTTAAGCAGCTCATTATCTTTTTCAGAATAGCAGTGCATGGATCTTGTCTTCTGAGGAGGCGTCTTGGGAAAATTTTGCCCAGTATAACTGGAAACTGCACAGAAAATTATTTTGATCTTCTCAAGAGAGATGATCCATTCTGTCAGTGACACATTAGAGAATTTCAACAACCTTTCTTCCTGATAAGGTACATGAGTATAGATGAGTGGCTACCACAAGTCTTGATGTTTGCGAAGTGGGTGTTATTTTGGGGGGTAATGTGAAGACTGACCAGCTCTTCAAATATTTTCCGGCAGAGCCGTGCTTGATATTTAATTGTAATTGTCAAGTACACCTGCATTTGAAATCTTAAACTATACCTGACTGGATCTGGTATCTTTGGTTGAATTGATTACAAAAAACTGCACTGTGCATGCATGCCTTTGTCATCTTCCGATCAGGTTCCTTTGTTTTCTTTTGTCCTAGCTACAGCACTTCTATTTGGAATCCCATGGGAGAACTGTTGCATTTAATGTCTTTCTGCTTTGAACTTTTCCAGACCAACCGGCATGTTAACTCCCTTAAGGAAAGCCAGCAAAAGATCCTCTTCCATCATTCTCTTAGTACTCATGATCTGCCTGTTCCACATAATTCTCCAACAGACAAACAGATTATTTAACTTCACACTGATATGATTGTATTAATCTTTCATTATATGAATAGGATAATGTTTTTTGTCAACGGCAGCAGGTCTGAAAGTAGTAAGTATGAGGCATCTTGTGGGTCATTTTCCACAACTGAATAAATTCCCTCCAAAGGTGATAGAGCAATGAATTTTCTTTAAAAGCCATGGACTTTGTTCAAAGCCCTTGAGCTGGCAGGTCCAATATATGGTATTGTGCTAAGTGTCACAGACAGTCAAGCAACAGCAGAGGTAAAGGTTTTTTCTTTGACTTTCAGATTTAGGTAAAGAATTGATGTCATGGAACATGAAAGGAAAGGGCTTCTTTTCAGGAGAGCAAAAGGCTGCCCTGTTTACCCTCAGGTCAGACAGGTGACAAGATTTGCAAAGTAGGACCTAGTGAAATGGTTGGGCTTCCACTACGGCAACAGTAAACCAGGAGGAAAGATTTAAGCTTCTTGTGAGAGTGCAATAGTGTGCTGTGGTATTATACAAACAACTCTCAGGATAAACTGGTGATCTGCACAGGACATGAAATTGTGTTTTGTTTTCTTTTGTTTAGTATTTTTTGTGTATGTCTTAGCGTTTTTTTTTGTTGTTGTTTGTTTTGTTGTTTTTTTTTAAGTAGATAACATTACATAAATTTGGACATAGAATCTTTTTAGTCCATTCATACCTGTGTATGAGATCTCCTTTTCTGTGTGAATAGAAACGGATACTTCCTCTGACACAGCCCAGTGTTCTTCTTCTGTTAGTACTTCAAAGACAGAATCTAGCATTAATATTTTTCTCTGGATGATTATAATGTACAATAACAAATATCCCATTTAGGGGTTCTTAGAAAACTAGTTATTATTTTCCGACACCTCCTGAAGCCAGAGTCATTGGAAAAAATATGCATCTAGTGTTTCTCAGACTCTGATAATGTTCCCTTGAGACTATGGTGGGACATACTGGTGGACTTGCCAGTGTCAGGTTAACTGTTGGACTTGGTGATCTTAAGGGTATTTTCTAACTTAAATGGTTCTATGAATCTACCATTAAAACTTCAAGAAAGGTGCCAGACCAACAGGCTTGAAGCTTTGGTGGTATTGCATGAGGACAGTCTATTCATAGGATAATCCATGGGCAGGAGTACCTTCTGGTGGTAGAGGCACTTTTCTTTTTGGAACAGCAATGGAAACTCTTTCTTCTCTGGCAAGTTTCTTTCGTTCTTCTGGCGCTTTAAAGATGGAAATTGTAAGAATTATAAAGTTTAAAAAAAAAATGACACTCTCTGACGTTCATACAAAAGAATTATAGACAAACAATTATGGGGAAATAGTACACTTATAATGAACACAACAGTAACACCATCTGTACAGATGTAAAGACACATAACAAAATCACAGAGGAAGCTTTAATGCATAGTAGGTAGATATGCATTATGTATTTTGAAGATACCTTTTTGGGGGAATGGGGGTCTAGGAAGAAATTCTGAATATAAATTAGACACTTTGAAACACTGCAATTTTAGTAACAACACAAATATAATTTAACATTAAAATAATATCTACTAAAATAATACATATAATATTAGAAGAATACATATATAGACAAAACCACATCAAAACCAAACAACATATTCATACATCAGGAATTAAGATGGAATGATTAAGATGAAAGTAAGTTGCAAATAATTTGCCTCCTGGCTCCTTAGAAACATCATTAAACCACAGGACACCACATATACAGGATACATAACAAAATCACTTCTGAAACACAAGAAAATCACAGAACCTAGGAAATACTTCTAAGTTTGAAACCCTTCACTGAATATTGACAATGTTATAAAGCATTAATATTTTTTTTTAATCTAATGCATTAATATTTATTTAACTTCTTCACTGAGTAAATGTGTTAACTCAGCTTTCCAAAGCACTTAAGCAGCCAAAGTAATCAATGAAGTTAAATAGTGCTAGAAAATTCAAGGAATGAATGCGTGTGGCTGTTCTCTGTCACCTTCTGCATTTTTTGCAGGGGAGAAGACAAAGGTCCTTTCCATTTATAACCAAGTCAGGAAAGACTGGGATTTGATTAACCAGAAACATTGCGTGTATGCACATCTGATATTTGGAAGCCTTCTGTGCTTTCAAACAAACTTGTGTACCTTTTGCTGGTGGACCTGCCATTTTCTGTGAAATTGGAACAGGTACTTTCTCTTCTGGCACAGGCTTCTTGGGCACTGCTGACATTTTGTTAAAAAAAAAAAAAAAGTATTTAAAATGATTTTGAATCAATCACAGTTTATTAACATAATCAGATGACAAAACACAAATGCAGGGACTTGACATTTCTTCAAGTCAAATAAAAAAAAAAGACAGCAAACACTGAACAATACAGCTTGTGTTAAACAATTAGATATTATAAATATAAATCAGTATTCTTGAAACAAGACTTCTATTGCGTAGCTCTGAAAAAAAGATATACCTCTTTTTGGTGGAGCCTCCTCTTTTTTAGCAACTGCAACTTTTCCTTCTGTGATAATTTTCCTGTGTACTTCAGTCACTTGAAAATAATAAGTGTAAGGGTATTTAATTGCAATATTTGAAGTATTATTATACTTAATCTGATCTTTTTAAAAAGAAAATGCTACATAAACTTCAACAACAACAGACACTGAAGAAGACTGTACTTTACAGTCTTAGTGCAAAGATGAGCAAACAGTCAAAAGAAAGGGGAGATCCAGACATAAGTTACAGATACTAACAAACACAAATTTATTTAAGTAAAATGACTAGACAGAAATGCTGCAAGGCCAAACAAAAAGTTTTCCATGATAATAATATTCTCAGTTTGTTTACCTTTTGTTGATGGAGGTTCTTCAACTTCTATCTCAAAAGTGGGTACCTGTTCTTCTGCAGGTTCTTAAAAAAGATTGTGCAACTTTAGAATACTTGATTGATTTCACAGACAGACAGATAAGATAAAAGATGAAGTAACATATAAATCTCATCAAGATGACACAGACCAGAGACCACATTGTAAACAAATGGACATAAGTGCATGTATAATGCTGAAGAAATTTGGTATGAAAAATATGTTTTTATCAACATGCATATATGTTAAAGATGTCATTCATGAAAAAAAAGGTGCTTTTTGCAACATGAAAAAACCACTGGTATACCTCTTGGTGGTGGAGCCTCCATTTTTTTAGGCACAGGGACAGGCACTTTCTCTTTAGGAGCTACTTTCTTACAAACTTCAGGAACTTTAGAAAAATGAGTAAGATAAGAAGGAAGATAAGAAAGAATATTAAGATGCAATATTTTTCATTGCTTACTATATCACAGTGTGCTTTACTGAGTCAACACAAACAATACCTGTCACAGTACAAGATGGAATTTGAGACAACCATTCATCTCTGTAAGCACACACCACCCATTTCAACATGTAGAAACAAGACAGTAAATCAAACATATTTTCCTTGAAGGTGCATCACCCAGATGAGGAACTGATTTGTACCTTTAACTCCTGGAGCTTCCCTGGGGGCAGCTGGAACTTTCGGTTCAGGGACAACTCTCCTGTGCTTCTCCGGTGCTTTAAAATATTACAGTACATGGATTTACAAAGAGTAGTAAAACTAGAACAAGCACACATTTCCTTAATACAAAAACCACAAATGGAGACAAACATGTAGTGGCAACATAATGCTCAGAATGATGAAACAACCAATATTTTGTAATGAAAAGAATTTATACCTTTAGTGGGCGGGGCTTCCTCTCTTTTAGGAGCAGTTACCCTCTCCTCTATGTAGTAAGACTCTTCTTCAGTCACTTAAAAAGAGTAAAGTTAAAAAATACTTGAGTTTAAGATCTATTACTCTCTTTATGGCCCTTTAAAGCAACAAAACAGACAACTCTGCTATTACAAAATCTACATTCAAACCATCCTGCTCCCTCTGAAGGCAAAGGAAAAACTCCATGCAACTTAAATGGAACTGAGATTGAGCTGCTAACTTGTAGTTCTGTAGCATTTGAAAAAGCTCAGTATTTTACATACTGGATCAGCACTTTCCATTCTTCTGTCCACTAGTTCACCAGTGCTGTAATCTGTCCACTTTCAGAAAAAACCTCTCTCCCAAATATCAAGAAAATTCCTTGACTAAAGCCACATCTTGAAAATACTTTCCATGGTGCCATTTGACTCAATGGAAATTCAGTCAATCGATGTATGTTACTGTCCTTCATAGCATTATGATACCACCAATAAACTCCCAAGTGAAAACAATATCGTAATTTTATGATGAAATGGTCTCAGGAACCAAGGTACACCATGACTTTAACTTCATCCAAGCAACCTGGTGGAAGAGGAACTTCTAACAGAGAATTTTTGTAAAAAAAAAAAACCAAAAAAAACTAAATTAAAAAAAAGAAAACACCAAAAAAAAAAAAAAGGGAAAAAGGGCTGATAATTCTCAACATCCAAGAGATACCTCATTATTTTCACTGTATCAATACAGGATTAATTACTAGACTTTTCAAAAGCAAAATAGAAACTGTAGGCATTCTTAACATTAAAATTTATAAGATATGAAACATATTTATATAGTTGTAATTTTTTGTTAATGAATAGAGTAGACATTAATCCCCAGGATATTTGGTACAAAACAAAAATTTTTTTTTTTTTGCTTTTGCCTAGCATTCTTGAACTGTGGTCGTACCTTCAGAAACTTCTTCCCTGTGAATGGAAATAGATACTTCCTCCATTTCTTCTTCAGACCATTCTTCAACTGTTGGTTCTTTAAAGAAAATTACTAGTTTTAGTATTTTTGGTGGATGGATGGATGGATGGATCAATTGATGGATCAATGAATGGAGAAGATTAAGATCAATTCTTACAAGTTCTAAATGACAATGACAGATTTGCATACAATACAGAAAGTGCTACACACACACACACACATGTACGATTTGCTCTAAATGATGTGTTTTCCTGATGCCCCTATTGTGTGCAGTTGTATCTCTCAAATATCCTTCACTGGTCAATTGTCAGTCCACCAGAATACCTCAGCTCTCCAAACTTCCCCATCGCAACAGCTGAGGGAAGGGGGGAACAACAGTCAAAGAATTAAAGGATGCTCCTTGATCTGGCTATGTGAAAGTAAGAAGAGGAACAAGATAAGAAGGGTATGTCAATATTTGAAAGGAAAGCCTGGCATCTTCATCTCAACAATGGTGACTGTATCAGGAAAACATCAACTTGTTCTGGGGTAAAACATTGATTTGCAGGGGACAAACAGAAATTAACAGTGCACATATCCATCTGAATATATATTTGCATGTTCATATTTTTGATATCTTCCATATCTGCTTTTAAAAACTCATTTATGCTTTTTTAATAGAGTATGTAAATTGTCTTGCCTGGCTAGTTATTAATGGGATATAAAAATGGCCAAAATGTTGATTTCAGCTATGCTGAAGCAGACATATTTTGGAATTATACTAACTTAAAACAATTGAACTCAACCTTCCCTGAGTATGGGAATGCAAGCTAAAAGAGCTGGTGAGAAGCTAACATTGGAATGAGAAATAGTATTGTTATCTGCAGGGCTACAGAGAACTTTGTAGGGAGCAAGACAAATGGGTGGTTACAATCCTAAATGGCAGAGTCTGAACTCAACACTATACGTCCATATTTCTTGCTATGACTTCACGAGAACCTGATCCCAAGATCACTGTATTCAGTAGTAGAGTTTCCATTTGTGTCAATGTGGTGGGATCGTGGCATTCAAGACTGATATGGTAAAAGACACTCAGGAAGCTCTTAACTACTTGCAAATCTGTAAAATGTTCAACACAAAACTCATACAAGAAAACTAACATGAAACTTCTGTGTATTTTGATCTGATCTTAGAAAAATAAACTTGTAGACAAAGCACAAGTTTCTTATTACTGTCTGTTTATAATGTACCTTCAGGTAGTGGGATTTCCTCTGGAATGGCAACAGATATTCTTTCTTCTGTAATAAGAACTCTTTCTTCAAAAGTGGCTTTCTTCTGCACTTCAGGCACTTTGAAAGATAATAATATTAAATGTATTCTTCTTTAATTCCATTGTGAAAGCAATGTTGCCAAATGCTAAATCTAAGTTTCCAAAGAATTGCTTAAGGGTTTTGAGCTCATAACACATAACAGATATTGAATATTTAGAAATACTGGTTTTGTACGAATTGCACAACACGTACCACATACTGTAATGATTCATTGTCACTAAATCAGAACAGCAGAATTCACAGAAGTACAAATCAATGACGGGTAACAATACAGAACATAGAAGCTAAGAAATAGCATATTTTTTTCCTCTAATGGAAAGCATACCTTTAGCTGGAGGAGGCTCAACTTTTTTAGGAACAGCAGGAGATACTTTTTCTTTAGGCATAGGTTTCTTAGGAACGGCAGGCACTTAAAAAAAAAGTATTTAGTTTTAGGATCTATAAGGTGCGAAACTGGCAAAAGAATCATGTAAAAGAAATATATCTTTCAAAAAGATTACACATGGACATATTTTGCTTGCAAAATACAACAGCTGAGCAAGCTGAGAGACAAGTGCAATGTTCTAAAGACTACAACAAATGACATTACATTGAACAACATTTTACCTTTTGCAGGTGGAGCTTCTTCTATTTTAGGAACACGTGGAATTTTTTCTTCTGGAGCTGGTTTCTTAGGTACTTCTGTTGCTTAATTAATATGAATTATAACAACATTAAGTAACTAAAATTACAAGTGTTTTAAGACTGCATCCATAGCACAGTTATCCACAAAAAATGACACAAAATATACATAGCTAGTGCAACTGAAGTACAACTAAAACAATCTGTAGTTACCGATCAAAGCCAAAACTTGACATAAACAAGATGTTTAACATAACAAGAAAAGAATGTTAGTTATTTAAGTGTACCTTTAGGTGGTGGAGCTTCCTCTCTTTTTGGAACAATTTTTTTCTCTGGGGCAGCTCTCTTGGGCATCTCTGGCACTTAAAACAGATAAAATACAGGATAACTGAATTCTATATTTCAAAGATTTATTTAAGTATTACAGAATTTTATTAATCCATTTACAAGAATATCAAGATATACTACATAACACATTCATACATTTAACATAGAAAGGAGTAAGACAAGAGCAACATATATTTGACAAAAAAAAACCAACAAAACCAACAAACCAAAACAAAACCCCAAACCAATCAAACAAAAAACCTAAACAAAATGAACAAATCAAACCAGTCTCTGGAAGCCTATCAAAGATTTCTTAACTGAAGAAAGAACTGTTCATGTATGTTAACTGGCCTTAAAAACTGTCATATATACACAGAGAATTATACATTTTAAAAAAACCAATTTATAATACAGACAGTACAGGACAAAAAAAAATTAAAAGATATTCAACAGGAACATGTACACTCCATCACTAAGTATACCTTTGGCACTTGGAGGTTTTTCTTTGGGAACTGGAATGTGTATTTTTTCTTCAGGTACAGGTCTTTTAGGCACCTCAGGAACTTTAAAGGTATTAAAACTTGTTTAAGTAATCTTTCTAAGGTTTTTGAGTTTGTCTTAGATGAGAACAGACATACGAAATACCGCACAAAGACTATATTTAGCATAAGCTTATAGGAGAAGTGAATAGTAGTTAATGAAAACAGTACAATAATACAGGACTGGTTAAAGCACACGTTGAAAAGATGCTGTACCTTTTGCTGGGGGAGCCACTTCTTTTTTAGCAACAGCAACTTTCTTTTCTGGAACAGGTTTCTTAGGGACTTCAGGCACTTTGGAAAACATTGTCAAAGTGAGAGAGCTTTAGTCTTTGGACACCTTATACAGATTTCAGCAATCCAAGATTGCTTTATAGAACATAGTGTCTGGACAAGAGCTGACCACTGCAACACAATACTATGTACAAACTTTTGGACATACAGTGGACTATATGGAAAAGACACTATGATACAGTACAAAATTCTGATGTCAACATTACTGCACTATCACCTTTCATGACACTCTGTTGAAATAAAAACACCATACCATTTTCCGCAAAAGCCACTCAACATAAATACAAACAATGAGTGCAAGGTTGTTAGGACAAAAGAAGGGCCCAAGCTGAGACAAATGCAAGCTATAAGCATAAATGAAAAAGTGAAAGTATGGAGATAATGGAAATAATGCAAAATCAAATAATGCATATGGAGATAATGCAAAACCAAAGCCACATAGAGATTAAATTCACAAATATATGCAAGGAAACATGAAAAATAATACAATGAAAGACAGGGGGATGGGTTTGTTGTGTTTGTGGTTTGTTTGTTTTTTTTTTTTGTTTTGTTTTTTTCTTCAGTTTACTAGTGCAATAGAAATACCTTTAGCTGGTGGAGCTGCTTCTTTTTTAGGAACAGGAACAGGCTTTCTTTCTTCCGGAACATGCCTCTTAGGTATCTCAGGCACTTTAAAGAGATAGGTGGTGAACACTTAGGAAACAGCAAAAACATTTGGAAGATCACAGTAGGATACTTTCAACACACTGGATAAGCAAACACTATAAAAAAATACACTTTTTTTCGTCAAAGAAATACAACATGCTCATCTCAAGAAAGCTAGACAAAGAATTATTTAAAGCAATGATGAAGAAGAATGACACTTAGAAAAGCAGTAGGGTTTCAACATTTGAAAGCAGAGCCAAAGAGAT